GCACAACTTTCTTGACATTTGAGAAATTTTCTGTTATTACTTTATTGAATATATTATAAATCCCTTTTGCTTGGACCTCTTTTCCTTCTTCAATGCCCATGATTCTCAGGTTTGGTCTTTTGATGGAATTGGTGAGTACATGCATATTCCTTTCACAGGTCTTGAGTTGTGACTAACAGTTCTTCAGTTTTTTTCTTTAATTTCTATTTTATCTTTGAGTTCTGAGATTCTGTCTTCCACTTATTCTAGTTTGGTGGAGTGGCCTTCCACTGTGTTTTGTGTTTCTGTTTGATTCTTTTTTCTGAGGTTTTCCATATCATGGGTCATTTCCTCTTTAATAATTTTTAGTTTTGTCTTTAATTCATTTATCTCTCTGTTTATAGTGCCCTCTGTTTCACTTTGGTGTTTATTTAGGGCTCCTCTGAGTTTATTTATTTGTTTCTGTGTCTTCTTATATTCTTTATTTTTGGTGTCTTGAAATTTCTTGAGTGCATCTTATACATTTTGGTTAACCACGTCTAAGATCTTCTCTATAAAATTATCAGTGATTACTTGCAAGATTGCTTTTGTGAGAGTGTTTTTGAGGGCATTGCTGGGTTCCTTGGTGTCATTTATCTTTGGTTGGTTAGGGTCAGGAATGGGTATCCATTTTCTTCATTTCCTCTGAACCCTGTATTAAATTCTTCTTCCCATTGCTCCACTTGGTACTGTGCAACTATGTTCTTAATAAGCTAGTTGGTGTTTTCAGTCAACTGTTTTCTTTCCTGTGATTTACTTTTTATATTTTGGCTGTCTTATTGTTAGCTAGGTTGGTGTGTTATTTCTGTTCCTGGTCTGGAGGTGTAATTTAGCAATAACTAATTCAAAATTTCAATAGATAACCAGTAGTTTATATGTTACATAGAAAACCCCTTGGTGGTAATCTCTATAAGCAGTGGGAGTTGAGGGGTTAACATTTGTTAGGCTAGCTATAGAAATTTGAGGAGGTGGCTAGGGTGGCACTAAATGGGGAGGCAGGAAGTGGGGTGGGTGAGTGGGGGAAGCAGTGTGGGGCATGCTGGGTTTTGTGGCCCTGATGTGTGTTTGGGTATATTTCTGTTGTTGTAGTAATTATATAATTTGAAAGGACATATACATGGTTATTTAAATTTTTTAAAACTTTGTAAAATAATAAAATATACAGCTTCAGATTATGAGAAGATTCTTGAAAAAAACTATTTTACACTTTGGAAGGCTCTATAGTACAATAAAAGGTTGCAAATGAGGCATAAAGTTATTTTCTCTCATTTATCCATTCCTCTCATTTATCTCCATTTAAATGCTAGCAAAGGAATAAAAAAAGCATAAACACAAAGAAAAAGTAGATAGAAAAAGGGAGAGGAGTGGGCAGGAAATTTCCATAAAATTTTACAATATGGAATCAGATGAGTGAGTGGTAACTGATTTAGTGAAACTGAGGAAGCCCTGAACTAAAGTGCTTGCTGAGGCTCTGTGGAGATCACCAGACCAACTTAACTCAGGCAGTTAGAGAATGAAGATGGACAAGAAACAAAGGATCATCCAGAAGTCTCTAATCCAAACACTGGACACCTTCTTATCCCTTACACACAATATCCACATCCAGGTGCTAGCCTGGGTACATTTTACACTCTTGGTAAGAGACTGGGAGTCGTGTTCCATACAGAAACTGAACTAGAAGGGTTTAAGTTGAGTGACATTAGCAGACTGGATAATGGATGTAAGGGACACACTACCATGTGGTGTGCAAAACAGAGAGGTAAACCTGGAAAAAGGTGGCCAAGGGACTCAGGAAGCAGTAAATTCCAGGTGAGCAGCAGACAGAAATAAAAAAAGTAAAATACATGGCAGACCTTCAGACAGGGACGGGAGACATAGGATTCCAGAAGTGCAACATACACTCCACAAAATTAAGAGTATGGGTTATTAAATCAGACAGTTGTGAGGCTCACCACAATTTTTCAGGTTTAGCAAACACAATATATCAAGAACACAGACCTTTCAGAATGAGGCACCAGTAAGTTGAAGCTACGTTTTCACTACTTTATATTATCAGCCCTTTTTTTGTTGTTCCTTTGTTTTTTGTTTTTGGCATTGGGTCTCATTCTGTTGCCCAGGCTGGCCTTGAATCCTTGGGCTCAAGAGATGCCCTACAGAGGCTTTCCTGAGTAAGCGGTACTATAGGGACACCACAGCACTCAGCTTCCTTTTGAATTTAAATTAAATTAATTTTAGCTGATTCATAAAAACAGAAATTATACGTATTAATGTGGTTTCCATGTGATGTTTCAATGCATGTGTACATTATGTACTATTTTACCAGGGTAAACAAAGCTCCTCCTCAAATATTTATGCTTTATAGAGACATTCAAAATCCTTCCTCTAGCTTTTTGAGATGCACAGTAGAGAAGATTTTTGGTATCTGTGCATGTGTGGTCCTCTGTGGAGGAAAAAACCAGCAAAGCTCATAATACACAGACGTCAATACTACGGATGATCAAATCATTTTCCCAGAATGCCTAACACTTCTTCTAAAGACATGTCACCTTTCAAAAAATCTAAAGTTTTTGCTTGATCATTTTAATTATGCACATTAAATTGAACCTTGCTTTTTTGGGCATCATTTGATTTTTGGATGGCAAATTTCAAGAAAATTAAAGGCAGGGAAACAGAAGATCATGAAAAGATTTAAATACAACTGCTGGTTGTGCAGAACTGAGAGCTTCTCCGTATCAACTCAGCTGTGGATGTGTGCAGGAATTTAAAATTTCTGTTTTTTAAATTTCTTTTAGTTTTTTATTTCTTATTTTTGACACATGCTTGGCCAAAGCCACTTGTAATAAATCCACAAATAAGAGGGTTTACTGTATAAAATTGCTATCTATAGTTATCCCAGCATACAAGAGCATACCTATTTGTATCTTACTACCCATTGGTCAACCTTTCCCCACCTCTCCCTCCCACTACTTTCCTCAGCCTCTGGTAACTACCATTAGTAGAGACTATAAGATCAGCTTTTTTACATTGCACATATGAGTGGGATCCTGCAGTACTTTTCTTTCTGTGCCCAGATTATTTCTCTTAATTTAATGACCTCTAGTTCAATCCATGTTGATAATTTCTGCTTCTTATTAGCCAAGTGAAAACATTTACTTTGAAAAAGATAAAAATAATTAAGTATATTTGAAATTATATTAGGCAATGAAATGGAATAATTAAGTGTATTTGAAATTATATTAGGCAATGAAATGGAATAATATCATGAGTGATATTATCAACCATTTAAAATATACGAAAATGGAAATAAGCATGTCAAGTGCTAAGAATGGTGAGATTTTTACATTGGTGGTACTAGGGGTTGAACTGAGAGCCTTGAACTTGCAAGGCAGACACTTTATCACTTGAGTCAATACACCAGTCCTTTTTGTGTTAGTCATTTTTGAGATAGGGTATTGCTTTGTGCCCAGGATGGCTTTCACCTGATCCTTCTGTTTGTGTTTTCTGCATAGCTGGAGATGAAGGGTGCCACCACTGCACCCAACCTTTGGTTGAAATGGGGGTCTCACAACGTTTTTGCTCCCTCTGGCCTCAAACCACGATTCTCTTGATTTCTGCCTCCTGAATAGCTAGAATTACAGGCTTGAGCCACAATGCTAGGCAAGAACAATGTTCTTATAGTTTCAAGTATTTTCTACTATGATCATCTGTTATTTGTACAATCATTTTAAAGTCACAATAGAAAAACGCAGCTACAAAATTTGAAGAAATATAATTTATACATAGTTATGCTTCCCATGGTTTGAATGTGTCCTTACCAAAATTCAGATGTTTAAACTTAATGGCCGATTAGACAGTATTTAAGGAGTGGGGTCTCTAAGAGGTGATTAGGTCATTAGGGATCCCCCACATAAATAGGATTAAAGCCCCTACAAAAGAAGTCCTCTTGCCTTCTTCCTTACATCATTGTATAAGCACACAGCATTCCTCTCCTCTGGAAGATACACTAAAATACCATCTTGGAAGTGGAATGCAGTTCTCAATGGACAACCAAGCCTATTGGTGCTGTGATCTTAGCCTTCCCAACCTCCAGATTAGAGAAGTGAATTTCTGTTTTTTATAAATTACCTAGTCAGTGGTTTCTTGTTACAGCAGTACAAACTAAGATAGTACCTCTTCAGGAAAACCAATAGAACATTCAAAAAAGAAATGAAATAAACAAATGCTGAAAAAATAAGAATGAGAACAGCAATGTACATGCTGTTATTGTCAAATAAAGATTGTTCCTGAATTTGACACAAGCAACTATTAAAATTTCTAATAGTTTTTATTATATTTAATGATTATTCACTTGAATAAAAATTTTTGATGAAAAATCCAAAAACTTGAATTCTAGAACTGGTAGTTACCATAGGAGGGCACCTTATGACCCTGCTTGTGAGAGGACTGCCACAACACAAAGGAACCTACTCTGAGGACTTGAAAAGGGAGATCCCACAGCTTTCCTTTGGCAACTTTTTCATTATCAGCATTTTTAGTGAGTTTTCTTTCCCATAAATGTAAATACTTGGTTCTGTAGTTTAAGTCATTATCATTCAATAAAGACAGAAAAATCACAGCTAACAAAATCTCACTTAACATTAATTTCCTCTTATATTCTAGCACCTGGCACAGAACTTCAGTCACACGTAGAACAAAATATAGATGAATAAACAAATATTATAGTGAAATCTATTTTTAAGTAGTTTTTCTGCAAGAACAAAGAATCTCAGTTTCTTCAGTCTTTGATTGTGGACTTATTTCTTTTTAATCTTCAGTAGTCTTTGTAGATTTTTAATTCCCTGATGTGTATCATAAGACAAGACCAGTATGGGCACAGCATTCTACTGAAGACATGATCAGTCAGGGCATACTACAAGTGTTTTATGATGTTTCCAGGACCACAGTGCAAATTTCCATCCACATAAAGAATGCTAAACACTTACCTCAAGCACCAACCATAGCTTATCTCCATTTATTTTATCCTTCTTAAAGTAAATCCCATAGAATCTGACCACATTAGGGTGGTCAGAGAGTGCTTTTAAGATGTTATACTCTGCTTCAATCTCTTCATCAATATCCTAGTTTCAAAAATAATAAGAGGGGAGAGAAATGACCCAAACATTGTATGCACATATGAATTAAAGAAATTTAAAAAATAAGAAAACTGTGAGCAAACATGACTAATATCAATGAAACATATTAGATTGTCAGATACCAAATTTAATTTTACTAAAGCAAAATCATAATAGTCTTTCTGTGCTTAGTACTTGCATTGAAATTTCTCACTACATTAGGGGAAGAGATTATGATTTTCATGCTAGTCAAATGCACCACAAGTTATATTAATTTAGTTGAATTAAAAAGGAATAAATAAAGTCTGTTTCTGTATGAAATCTAATAACAACTGCAGGTGATTTTGCATTCAATGTATTAGTGACTTGGTTACAATGACAAAGACATTGATTTGAAATAAAAACTTTTAGGACTAGAAAGGATATTTGGAAGCTATCAAAAACAAGTTGTGCAAGCAACAAATTCCTACTTTTTCAAAAAAGTGAAAAAGAATTAAATTATAAGAAATGGTATATAACCTTTAGTTAACTACAGACCTACTCACCAGAAGTACCATTTAGTCATGTTTCTAGAAAATCACATACACATGAGGCAATTCTCAAAGCAATAAATAAGAGAGAAACTTACTAATAGTGTCCTTACAGTGACAGTTAATGACTGCTGTTTTATTACAGACTCATGGAATCACAGTGATAGAAAGAAATAAAGGTAAAAAAATAAAGCTCAGAGAAGTCAGAGTCAGAGATGTTTAGTATAAAATCCAGGTCCAGACTCCAAGCCTACTGCCTTCTAATTCTGTTCATTTAATCACTAACTAAATATACATCATAATAAGACTCCTTTATTTTAAAAATAGTCAATCTTTGTAAAATGTGTGGATGCAATTAATTTAAGATTATAATCTTTTGGCTGCTAATGTTTTTTTGTTTGACTTATGAAATGATGAATGAAGAGTAAGTAATTCTTAGGAAAACATGTATGTATTGTGACAACAAACTACTATGCAGTAGTTAAAGTTTCACTAAAACAATAGTAAAACATGAATTAAAATGTTTCTAAGTATATCATACATGAGTACATTATGAAAGAACAATGGCTATATATATATATATATATATATATATATATATATATATATATATATATTACAAGCCACTTTTCTTCATAAGAAGGCAGGGAATGGAAGAAATAAACTAATCTAATCATGGAGCCAGACATGGGGGTGATCTTGAAGTCCCTTTACTTACTGCCACAAACCTCAATCTTAATATCAAAGGTCAGAGGAAAGAAAGAGGTGTGGTTGCTTCTGGTATAGGGTGACTTGCGTCTCTCTTCCATCCATGTAAGTGGAAAGAGAACCGTGCAGACAATCCACATCAGTTAAACCTGGGCACTATGCTGCTCATTTTTAACTCCAGTATATGTCTAAATTACTACTTTAAAATAAAGCTCCCCTCCTTCCTCCTCAGCTCAAATAATATGCAACTGTGATGTAATGGACCTAGCAAAAATAACTGCAAAAGAAGAGCAACCTCAAGATGAACAAAGAAGCAGAGACCTTTTGCATCGTCTATGGTTTGTTATTGGATGAGCGTGACAAGAATGGAAGACTTCCATGTCCTCTTCTTATCATTTCTATCATGCCATGCTGCCACCATATATGTAAAAGTCTTGTAACTGAAGACATGGCTCTCAGTAAAAGTTTGGAGAGATGTGATTCCTGGGCTCACTATGGCACTTGCATGTGCCATGGGAGAGATAGGTATTTCCAGCAGACTGAGGATAGTCAACAGTTAGCCAGGCATGGTGGTGCACACGTATAATCCCAGCACCCATAAGATTGACGCAGGAGGACTGTTAAGACAAAAGGCCAGCCTGGGCTACATAGTGAGACTGTATCTCAAAAAAAACCAAAACAAACAAAAAGAGATATTCCCATACTAGCAACTCTCCTTCTAAGAAAACAGGGCAGGAGGTGTAGCACAGTGGTATAGCACTTGTCTAACATGCATGAGGTTCTGACTTTGATACCCAGCATACACACATGTGCACACACACACATGCACACACAACACAGAGTCAAAATTATTCTCAGAAAACAGAATCTTGATACTTTTCTCACAGTATTAGTAATAAGGAACGGTTCTGTATTTCTCATTATCACAACTTCTATCCCCAAAAGCAATGGGGGAACCCGTATTAGAGCCTCACTTAAAAACAAAAACCAGCAGAACTGAACAGGAAATCCAATTTTTCACAATGAGGAAATTTATTATAAACCAATACCATTTCTTCTTTGGAAACACTTAAGAAAATCTGAAAATTAATTTCTCTTCACTGAAAGAAAAAGAGAAATTGTGCCTGAATCTAAATAAATACAGAAAAAAATAGGAATCTGGTTAAGTTGGCATTTTAGGGTTACTTCTAGGTCTAGGAGTTTGTATTTTTTGAAATCTGAAATAATACTGAATGAAGTGCTAAGCTGATGGGAGCTGCATTTATGCACTGATTAATTTATTTATCAAGTACTTACTTGTGCCTTAGCATATAGGTAAAACATATAAACTAGGAAAACCAAGTAGACTTTTACATATTTTTCAAATTACAAATGTTTTAGCATGACTGCCATGAGTGAGTCAATATGATGCTTGTAGATTATCTTAACTGTTTAATACAGATAAAAATAAAGTTAATTAAGAGAGGAAAAAAGCCAAAGTGACTTACATGAATTGGATCCAGAATTTTGACTGCTGCTTTTTGGCCATTTTTTTTATTCAGTACTTTGAAGACCTTCCCATAAGTTCCTTTTCCAATAGTTTCCGTAATTTCCCATGTATCAGAAGGATCGGGGAAGTTATCAAAGATGATTGTTTTCCCAATTAATGGAAACATTTCAAAGGTCTAAATCACTGGAGAGAAAAAGCACAGTTTCATCCACATTTGATTGAGAATATCAAATAGCAACATAAACCCATGGGAAATTACCTAATAATTTCACTGGTTTGAAAGAAAATTTGCAAGCACAACAAAATACACTTCAGAGTTACAAAAAACTTTAATTTCTCCTTTGCAAATAGATTAATATGAGTTTAATAATGCTTTGTAAGTGGGGCATTATTTTGCTGTTTAATATTAATTAATTGCTATTAATTCTTTTCAAATTGACACATATATTTGTGTTATTTTGATTTACTTCTTTATACTCAGGTATTACAATGAATCAAAGTATTTTAGAAGAACATGGGCAATACTAAAATTTAATTTCCTTAGCAGGGCATGGCAGTGCATACCTGTAATTCCAAATATTTGGGAGGCAGAAGTTTGAGGACCAAGACTTAGAGGCCAGCCCAGGCAAAGGCAAATGACTGGTGGTATGGTTAAAGTGGTAGAGCACTTGAGCACTTACCTAGCAACTGAGAGACTCTGGATTCAATCTTGAATATTGCAACAAAAAAATCAATTTTCTCATTTAAACAAATATTACATTTTATAAATGCTAGGGTTTTATTTTACTTCTGTACACAGTCCAATGCACAGCCTAATAATAGGACCCCCACTGCCTTTAGGATGAAAACCTCCTTAGCATCACTTCTCAGCTCCTCTTTCACGTGTTATGACACAGCTACTCTGGTCCCATAAGGTCGTTTCTTTCTTGTTTGAGGGTTTTAATATTCATTCTCCCTCCCACCTATGCCTGTGGTGCCTATGTGAAATTCTAACACTTATCTTTAAACTCTGGATTACATGCCACTTCCTCCACATGCCATCACTCCCCACTCCATCTGAGTTACATTCCCACCTTGGCTTCAACAGCACAACGTCTACTATTTGACACCAATACTGTGTGCCCAGTACCTGGCACAGTGCTAAAATGATTAATTATTGATTCTTTAATTAATGAAATAGATTATAGCCAATGAGGTTATTAGCATAATTATTTGATATCAATATCTGTAACAGCTGATATCATTAGTATACCAAATCATAAATAATATGATTATAATATCTGATATCACTCACATTAAGTGATATCTGACATCATTACTATATGCCTGGCACCTGGCACTTAATTAATCAAAATAATTAGTGAATTGAGGAAACATGATAAATGAGGTCAGGTGACTTCATAGAGGAGAGTTTACAGGTAATTGAGTAAGATCCAAGCTTCTTGCTTTTCGAGCAATGCTCTTAGCCCTCCATGTTCTTCCTATGCTGTATCCAACTATTCCTATAAAATTTTGAAATGTGAAAGAAGGAATTTTCTTAAAAGGAAAATGTTTTTGGCACTCTTGGTAGACTGCACATTTTCCCAGTTATCTATAGAAAAGCACATTCCTTCCAATGTGAAAAACTTGGTTGCAATTGGGTTTGTGTACATATGCACATACATACACAGATATCTATTAATAGATATGTATTCATATTCCACTTTAGCCCATGAAATTCAATTGTCTGATCACACTAACTTCATCAGTCTATCGATTCTCCACTTTCCTTGTCAATCTTCTTCAGTCCCTGCTCATTTTTTCCTTCCCAGAATAAATATTATGGGTTGTATTATTATAAACATCTTCAACATTCTTATATCTCACTTTCACCCCCAAACTGTGGTGAAACCCTACATTATCTTCACACCTGTGTCTGTACATGAAATCATACACCATGCTGACTAAAAAACTTACACGAAGGTCCTCAACAGTGTCTAGCAATCTTATGCACTTCCCTGGTTTGTTTATTTCCTTTTCAGTAGAGTTTCTACTTCACAATATCTCTCCTCAAAATGTTGCCTGTTTGCTACCCACATTCTGCCACAAAACTTTACAACTGATGCTTTTACATCATTAGCTGAAAAACTGGATGCAATAAAAAAATTCCTCAGTCTTCTCACTTCAAAAACTACAAACCAATATACATCAAGCATAGTGTGTTTATTCCTATCTTTGGTAATTGCTGTTTGGCCTCAGTCGTTCTCTTTGGTTCCTTCTTACCATTTAGTTTTTAGTACAAATAGGACTTTGTTAGGAAGGCTTTTCCTGATCAACCTGCATAAAGATAGTCTTCCCTACTTATTTTTCCATTAGAATAAAAGCTACGTGAAGGTGTGGACTTTCTTACTTTTACTATTATCCATAATTTCCAGAGCAATGGCTAGCATGTCAGTAAATGTTATTAAGTGAATAAATGTTTACTTATGTGTCAACTGTGACAGCAAAGACCCTATCTATCTTGATGCTTACAAATCTCTGTTCCTGGCACATAGTAGATGTTAAAATACAGCTGTTGAATAAATACATAAACATGGTTCTTTTAAAAAAAGATTTTTTTAAGTAAGGAAGTGAAATAAGGATTAGGGAGAACAGAAAAAAATATGGAAATCCAAAACAAAATGAAGATCATATTCTGATTAACTATACTTAAGGGCACATCATCTAGGAAATGGCTGTGAATGCCTGCTAAAAATTACATCACTACATAAAACACACTTCTGAACAGGTCTTAGAACACTTAATCTTTATGAAATCTGTGCCTTTGATCCCAAATGCAAAGAGGTAATTAGTAATAATCATCCTCTTTAACAATTTCATAATCAGCAACAAAATAACTACTTCTTACATCAGTAACAAAATAACTACCTCTTATCTGTCTGCCTGAGTCATGCAAATAAGCATTTATGCCATGGATATAATGTGTCAGACCAAGAGACCAATTATATCTTGTTAAATTTCTGAACTAGAAGTTTCCAGCCAGAAGAAACAGTCATTAAATGGAATATTGCCTTCCAAGCAATAGTGTTATTAAACATAACATTCATTTCTGAGATATTAACTATTAGGAATTAAGTGTTGGTTTTTCAATACATGGGCAAGAAAATTCAATGAAAACTCTTGAATACCAAATATCTGCAAAGCGCTTTAATGAGTTTGGGGGGATACAGAGATAGACAGTCCATGACTAGGTTAGTAAATATGTGGCTGTAGCATATTATGGAAAGTGATAACAGGAATGTGCATAAAGTAGGATGGTAGATTAGGCAGAGAAGCCATCAAGTCTGAAGTGGTTAGGAGAAGACACAGAGAATAAGCAGTATTTGAACTGGACACGAAAACTGAGCAGAAACTTGTCTAAAATGTGAATTTTCTCTTTAACAATACTCAATCAGACAAATATTCAAAGCAGTGAATCACTGTATTATAAAACAATGACCAACCTAGGCAAAAAATTACAGTAGTTTGGTCTCTTAATGAACCAATTATTCTATCCAGTGGAGATGTTACAGATAATTGAAAGAACACCACAAGGAAGTTTTTCTCCTCCACCATAAGCCATATTTTAGGATGCTCACTTTGCTCTTCTCTCTAGCAGGCACAAAAAATTTAAAAGCTGGTGTGTTGATGTAGTGTCTAGAATAGAGTATGTAGTGCTTATTCACTGTACATTGTATTGGGCAAGACGCTGGGCTAACTCTTGTTTACTGTTCATATAATAAAACCTAGCACATTATCTGCAGTAAGCTTGATGAGGGTAATGCAAATGGATATTTACCCATATGGACTGTGGTGAACAAGGGCGCTTACTGTCTTTTCAGTGGAACCATCTTGGTCAAATTGTAACCAGCTAGGATTTCTTGATGATGTAGTTTCATACTCACAGCAAAACAATAAACTCAATATCTATTTCAAATATTTTACCATTGTAATTTGTACAGCTGTAGTACTAAAGCTTAAGAAAAATAAATGTTAATCAGCAGATCACATATTTAAAATACTGGGACAGGGTTATAACTCACTTTCAAAGGGAAGAATGAATGGGGAGAGGACCATGATATGGTAAAATGGTATAAATATATATATTTCCTTATTGGCTGTGTTACTCTGTACAACACTTATATCTTTGCCGAAGTTTGATTTAATGTTTAGGCATTTGGTGAATCTTTTGCATTTAGACTTTTTTGTTCTTACCATATGCCTCATAATATAACAATAGCCTCATGTGTCTTCCATGTTTTGGAGGAAGGTTGACATAGTTTAAGTAAATGCTCTTAAATGCCAAAAAATGACCACAGAATGACAAAAACACAAACACTTTGGAAACACCTAGTCAAATCTCATTTAAAACAAATAGGTAAAATGAAGTTATTTAAAATGACTTCTTCAAAATTATACATTAAGAAATTTCAACAATTAAACTCCAAAGAGATCTTCTGGCTCTTAAACTACATGTTTGTTTCATTGCTTAAGAATAAAACAAAATATCACAATTAGTAAGCAACTGATTACTTAATGCTACAGTACATTGACTCTACATAACAATGAAGGTTCATATATTTTGTCTAATTCTTTAGTACTCAGAATAAAAAATAATTATCCAGCCCATAAAATTAAAAACACATAATTAAGGTCTTAATTATATAATTAAATTCTTAGTTATATGATCATATAAACCGAAGAATGATTTTCAACATGTATGTTTAATATGTCTTGATATGTGTATTTACCATAATTCTGAAAATGTATTCCAAGGTGACATTTTAAAAATGAAGACTCAAGCTTTTTTTTTCTTCATGCAGTGCTGGGAATGGAACCTAAGGCCTTGTGTGTGCTAGGCAACTGCTCTGCCACTGAGCTATAACCCAGCCCAAGACTCATTTTTTAAAGCTAATTTATTATATATTGAACTTTTAAAGTTCTTTTTTTCCAAGATAGAAGACCACAGTATAATGAGAAAAGTATGTTACTATAAGATTTTAACACTCATCTCAGCAATTATTCTGCGTGCTTTTGCTCTTGATTCTTCTTATAAAATAACCAAGCAGCCTTCCTGTTCATTCTAAAATGTAACAAGGCTGATCCCTAACTGGGGTTGTCTGCTTCCTCTGCCTGGAATGTTACTTC